CCGGGGCATGAGCCCCATCCTCTGAATCAAATGAGGAACAGTGAGCGGGCTTGGCATGCTTTCTTCAGATGATGTTTCTCTGAGGGTACCTGTGCCCTTCAGTGATAGCACCTGCTTTACTTGGCTTTGCTTTGCTTTGTGTTAAGTATGTGTGTGTGGGCGTACTCACAGTAGGACTTTTCTGACTTCTCTGATCAGATAGTCTTTTTCTTCTCCTTTTTTTCTTTTTTTTTTCTTTTTTTTTTATAAACAAACTGCTCCATCTATTGGTCTGATCAGGTAGTCTGCGATGCTTTCGAATTGGATTTTCTCGTGTGAAAAAAAAAAAAAAAAAAAGATGAAACAAATACCTAACCTCGATTCATCAACCCAGCAGTAACACCCTACCTCCCGCGCGGCAGGGGTCAAAGACCCCGCAAACCCACCCACCTCCTCGCAATTTAGGGAGAACCACTTCCAGTGATCTGTGCCTGCTCCCAAGGAAACCCCACCGCCCACCATTATGGGGTCTCGACAGAGCGGCACTCTCTCTTCTGTTCCATCTCATGGTAAACGCGACACAAAAACTGAACTAGTTGCAACAATCATCACAGACAAACCAATTGACGAAAAGAAGCAAAGGCAAGAAAGAGTTCGCCAAAAACTCAACTAGCGCTGTGTTATACTGAAAGTAAAATCCAGCTTAGGGCGCTCCTGTCAGCCAATTGGCTGTGAGCCATGGAATTCGTCGCCCCTTTTTCTGGGTTTTTTGAAGGTCTTTGCTGTCAGGTCATTATGATATTTGGCAGTACACAGGACTTTGTTTTTTTTGGTAGGCCTTTTTTAGCACACGAAGCGCTGTACCAAGGTCACAATATTGCCCCCGCCCCAAAAAAGTTTGGAAAACATGATGCTTGTACAGTGGTTTTGAAATAAAAGAAAAAGGAACAAATGGTGAAAGTGCGTAGGGTACACAGCCAAAACTTTTTCGCTTTTTCTGAATCTGTTCAAAACTCAGAATGCCGCATGATTTCCCCTCCATCGATGGTGTGTAGTAATCCAACTGTCATACATGATTGAAAACCGTACGTACACGGTATAATACGGCGCTAGTGAAACGGTTTTCACCTTTTAACAGTAGCGGATGCAGTACCCAGGGTTCGATCCCTAGACCCCACCCTACCCATGTACAGTATCTGTGTAGACCCCGAGAATTGAACCTGTGACCTGTGCATTCGTAGGCAGTTGGTAGGCCTGTCGTAGGTCCATAGGCAGCAGGGGTTCGATCTGTAGGTCTATAGCGTAGGAGTCTTAGTGAGTTCCGGAAGCTTAGCTGTAGACCTTCTAGAAGGTAGGCAAGTGGGCAAGTGGTCAAGTGGAGAGGCAAGTGGTGGGCTAAAC